AGCAATTTTCTCTTGCTCCTTCTTGCTTGCACACTCCTGCTTGCTCTGCCTCTCCATCTATTTAGCCTTCCTTCCCCTCATCACTCCCTTTCTTTGACTTTATCCCCGATTCTCTTTCTGTCCATCATCTTTCCTGTCTTGCGCCCTCCTCTAATGACCTTTCTCTTCCTTTCTTTTTTCCTGTTCTTTCCTTGACCTCCTCACTTCATTAGCTTTTTCTACTTTTCTTACCTGCCAAACTCCTTCCAAGAGAAGATGCGTGTTGGTGTCCGGGGTGCCAGATGAACAACTTGACCAATTTGCCCAATTCTTTGCCTGTTCCAAAGCCAGAGGCAATTGGGATGCTTTGTTGAACCCTAAAGTATTGGAAAAGCCTCTTTCCACATTATTTTCCCCCTTAGCAATCATGGAACTCTTTTAAATGAAAGGGAAGGGGAAGTGGTTCTAGATTTCCATAGATCTATATCGTCCTGGGTCCTCCACCTTTGGCAAGCAGCTGAGGAAGCTTGACTATGTTATCATTGAACACCTTTGGTCACATCCTTTTTTTTTTTTTTTTGCCCAGGCAGAGTTTCTAGTGAGAATAGAGAGGAAATTCAGAGTCTGCCTTGACACAAATCCTCACTGTACAGGAGACCAAAGACCAAAAGGAGAACAGTCTTGTGGTACCCAGCAAGTCAGGGGCAGAGACCCAGACCTAAGCCTTTGGATATCAGTTTAAGATTCTTTCTTGTATACACTTCCTTTAGTATCCCTTTCTTGCGATACCACTCATCCTATTGCCCTTTGACTTTAACACCAATGGGATCAGGACCTGGGCTAGCCTGGAGAACTACAGGAAGAGAGAATGTTGCGGGAATACGTTACCTAGTTGTTTCACAGTTGGATTGCCAACCTAAGATATCTACTCATTGTCTCTCCAGGCCCATCATACCTATTAATTTTGTAGACCTTCCCCACTACCACTCTTGCCTTCTGTGTCTGTAGAATGGGTCACTTGATGGAAGGCTGCAGATTTGCCATACAATTACACTGGTTCAGAAAGCTGTTCTGTTTTTAACCTAGGTCTTCACTAGAATGTTGGCTCCAAATGTAATTGTAATCTGTTCCATTAATTAATTTATTTTGTTTTAATGGTCTCAGGGCTAGGGGAATTTGAGATCATTATGTCACACAGTAGGCATATCAATATTTTCTTCTCATGCCAAAGATCCTAGAAATATGTCCTAACGGATGGTCTTTGGGAAGCATGGTTTGTGTTCTGAAGTGTGGTCTTTTCTCCTCGTTGCACATAAATAGCACTAAGGGAAGCCTGTACTTTAGATGAGAGCCCGACTATTTAAAACACTGCTCTGGTTTCCGAGACATGTTATTTACTGATTAAGCTTGGGAGCAAATTGTGTCTTTTGGCGAATTGATTATAGTGTTTATTATTATTAAATGATACTCATGGTCTCTTCTGAAAAATGGAATGTTTGTGGATGAGAGTAGTGGCCTTGAGTATATTGAGCGCATCAGTGCCCGAGTAGGGACACAGTATATTAAGCCTAAGTGATGTTTCTGGGAAATGGGAAATTAAAAAGATCAAAAGTACATCTGAGCCAAAAACCAGAGGTCGGTGAGTATAGTGAATATGCTTCATATGTAGTAGATATGTTCCCAACTTCTTCACGAAAGAAAAGAATTGGTGACATAGTGACATAGACTGAAGTAATTAGCTCCATTAAATATACACATTAAATCTTGTGTGTTTATTGGTGTTAGCTGTGCTACTGGTGTGATCTATTGGGATCTAGGCATGGGAGACTACAGTGGTGCTTATTTGAATTTACTTTAATGATGTGGGGTTTGGTAGGCTGGACTAAGTTTTTTTAAAATATGGTTTTACTGAAATGGTTCAAATATCACACACTTCCATATTTCAGTCATTGTAAGTCTGGGTTGACTAGAGAAACAAATTCATAGACATGCATATGTGTATAAGACCTAGCTTTATACAAAAGAGCAGTTGAATATTGAGAAAATATCCCAGCCCATAAGTCCAGAAGTCTGATATTAGCCCATATGTCTGATATCAGTCTATAAATTCCTCTACAGACTCATGAAACATATGCAATGATGCCAAATGCAGGAAGATCACAGGCCAGTGGGTTGAAGGTCTTGTGGATCCAGTGGCAATGTAAGCATCTCAGCACTGGCAGGGGTCTCTACATGGCTTCTCCAGCCATGTGTCAGTTGAAATGTCTCCTGGGGAGTGAGCCTTGTCAGTAGAGAGTGTTCAAGGGAGTGAACATGTGTCCCACCTCCAGTGAGCTATTTATCTCCTTAGTACCTCCAAATGAGGTCATCAAGCTGCAACCTGATTGACAGGCTAAACTCCACCCCTTCACTCTTAATCCTCTCAAACTGACAACAAATTATGTAACTACCACAGTCATATTAAAAAAGGGTAGTACAATCATCTCTACAATCAGTTCCAGAACATTTTCTTCCCTCTTGTATTTGCTATTAGTTCCCCAGTTCCCTCCAACCCTCCTGTGTCCCCAGTGAGCCCTTAATCCTGTTACTCTCTATATACATTCACCCATCCTGGTCTTCATATTTCTGAAAAAGATTACCCACCCCCTCCAAAAAAGACCAACAATAGTAACAAAATAAACCAGAGAGGGGGGTGGATTGCCATGAAGAAAAAGTAGGGAGAATTAAAGGGAAATCAAACTATCAGATCTCATATTCTAACCTGTTTACATCTGCCATGTTCATGTTTATGATATTCTCTGTCTGATAACAAGGCTATACACATCCCTCAACTATGTCACATCCATTAACTATGGTTAAAGGAGTTGTATTAGAGGCTTAATATATGTAGGTACCCTGAAAATGGATTTGGGGTCCCCAATGTCATTTATTGCCTTCTGAAAATTGGGTGTTAGCAGTTTAAGCACTTACACAGATTTGAATTTTATTATTTATCATCCCTGGATCACACAGGCTGATGTGCTTCTTCCATGTGGAATTAGTTGATATGTCATTTAGGTGGTTGCTTGTTTGAAGATAAGCCTTTAAGATCCCAGGTGCTATTATTTCTGATAGTCATGCACCATCTGGTTTCTTCACCGTACTTTGCTGTGGCATCCATGTCTTCAGTGATCTTTTCATGAGGGTGAGCATTGAGCAAGGCCATGTCATTAGAACCAACCATTCCTAGCTTGGGGATAGAATTAAGTTTCAGGCCAAAATCCATTCATGTATCTATAGTTATATTCAGATCTGATTCACTGTAGAGGCCTCACTATCATTGTATGTTGGAGACCATTATAAATTATTCCCATGGGGTATAAGGCAATTCTAGTAATAGTGTTATTAATTTATCTAATGTTAGAGTGTTTAACTCATTATTGCAAAATTGAGGTTATAAAAGTATAGCTGAATGGAATTCCATGAATTTTTTTTGGTACAGATTAAACTCTTAAATGATTGGGGAGTTTACCAGGGGGGTTGATGAAAAGGAAAATTTTCCCGTAGCAGTCATTCATCAGGGTAGAATCATGTCTATCAGATTAATACAGGTTATAGTAAAGCAACAAGGGCATTAACATAGTAAATATATGGTGGTGCTGGGTCTCTTTTCATTGGGTATCCTTAAAGCCAGGCATCTGAACCAAAGTCCAACGACCACCACTTCCGTAACCTTGCACTGGCATGGACTGAGCCTTTTTTTTTTTTTTTCAGGCCAGATTGCACTAACCTACTTTGTGCTGTTTCTGGTTTTACTGGAGAGTGTGGCCTCTTCTGGGCTACAGTGTGGTCAACTGGGGTCAGGCAGAAGGAGAAGAAGAAAACCCTCAAAAGTGGGAGAACTTCATTTCTCTGAGTATTATTTCCCACCCTGGTAAATACTCATATATGAAGGTATTCATCCAACACACCAAAATTCCTGTGAATAACATTTGAGTAATCAACCCTTTCTTTTTTTTTTTTGAACTTAAAGTTTTATTTATTTTTTAACATTTTATTAGGGGCTCATACAATTGTTATCCCAATCCATACACACAATTGTGTAAAGCGCATTTGTACATCGTTTCTCAAAACATTTTCTTTGTGTTGCGCTGTTAACCATGAGGTTAGCAGTTTGAAACCACCAGTTGCTCTGCAGGAGAAAGATGAGGTTTTCTACTGATATATAGAGTAATAGTCTCAGAAACACGCAGGGGCAGATTTACTCTGTCCTATAGGGTTGCTATGAGTCGGAATCAACTGGACAACAATGCGTTATGTACTGAGACTGGAGAAGGTCTACCAGAACTGCCATTCAGAAGGTCTTGGATTAGATGGGAAGGTTTGTGAGTAAAATGACAGTTATAATAAAGAAAAATAAATGCAGCATATTCCAAATTTCAGTCACTTAACCCAACAAAAGTTTATTTCTCATTCAATCCTGTCCACTGTGGATCAAGACACCTTTCCAGGGCAATTGTCCTCCCTGTTTTGACTCATCTGCCCAAGCTGTTTTCCTCCATACCAATGTGTGTTTACATTATCACCACAACTAGAGGCTCTTGCATTGAGAATGACTATTTCTTCCAGGAAGGTAACCTATTATTTCTTCCCATGACAAGATCCAACCTCATCACCTCACCTTCCTTTAAGGGTGCAGCAGAATGCAATCCTTCTGTATTCCCAGATATTGGAGCATTTGTAACCTACCACAGGTCAGAACAGGCACAGCATGGGAGCCCCACACCTCACTTACCTTTAGTGTTTTTGATTCTACTGTAAGTTTCAATGATACCTAAAAGGACGCTCTTTGTGCTAGAAAAGTGTCTAGGTAAGAGGTTTTTGAAGAGTTTCCCTGTGGTTCTGCCAAGTGTCCTTTCCCAAAGTAGCAGGTTGACTGGCATTCAGAGTGTACCCCTGGACTGCCTCTCTCTCTCTTTCTCTCTCTGAAACTAGGCAACAGACTTTTATGACACTCTGCTTTTCTGCTTTCTTTGACTCAGATGCTGTGACTGAAGTCAAGACCGACATCTATGTGACCAGTTTTGGCCCAGTGTCAGACACTGACATGGTAAGTAAAGTTCTTGCAAAGGTCACAGTGAAAAGGATTAGAGAAAATTAGAGAAAATAAATTGTAAAATTTTCCTAAAGTAGGGACTTGTATCTATGAATACATGAACACCCGACCCTTAAGGCATTGCTGCTAGGTTCCATGATGTGGTTGTAACTTATCATGACCCAGTGTACAACACAGTGCCCAGTTTCACTCTCCCAGTCATTGCTATGTTTGAGCCCAATGTTTCAGGCACTATGTGGCTTCATCTCATTGAGGGGCTTCCACTTTTCCTGATAACATGTCCAAAATATGGGAAATGAATTCTCAATATCCTCGCTTCCAAGGAGAATTTTGGCTATGCATTTTCCAAGAAAGATTTATGCATTTTTGTTCTATCTGATTGTCTATTTATATCATAATTTAAGGCCAAAACGTTTGCCCCTGTTTTTTACTTTGATGATTTTTATAGTTGCATGTTCCACATTTAGGTCTTCGATCCATTTTGAATTAGTTTTTGCATATGGTGTGAGGTATGGATATTGTTTCATTTTTTTAAATTCTCTCTTTTCCACACTTACTGGGTTTCAGACCTTTGTTGAAAATTAACATCCATAAGTGGGTAGATCGCTATCTCAGTTCTCAACAGTGTTCCGTTGGCTTCTGTATCTGTTTTCATGCCAGTACCAGGCAGTTTTGACTACCATTGCTATATAGTAGGGTTTGATTTTGAGACTTCCTACTTTGTTCGTTTTCAGTAGGGCTTTGCTTATCCAGACACTTTTTGCTTTGCATGTAAAGCTAGTAATTGTTTTATTCCATCTCTTTAAAGAAAGTTGATAGAATCCAGACTGCATTATAAGTAGATTCCTTTGGGTAGTATGAACGTTTTCACAATGGTAAGTATTCCTGTTTTGCAAAGAACTTTTAATCAGGAATGGCCATGGGTTTTATCAAATGTCTTATCTGAATTGATTGATGTGATTAAGTGATCCTTTTGTTTTATTTATGTAGTGGATTCCATAGATTGGTTTTGTCATGTTGAACCATCCTTTCATACATGGTATGACTCTCCCTTAATCATATTATCTGATTTTTCAGATGGTGTTGAATTCTATTGGCTAGGATTTTGTTGAATATTTTCGAGTCTATGTTCAGAATACTAGTACATACTTTTCGTTGATAGTGCTTTCTTTGCCTCCCTTTGCTATAGGGTTATCTCCAGGGAAGCCATTGGTGCTAGGAGGTATTTGGGGGGTGGGGACATTCTTTATAATAACCTGTTCAATTTCTTATTTTGTTATATGTTTAAATTTTCTACCTCTGTCTGTTTAGGTAGTCATGTATTTATAGAAATTTATGCATGTCTTCTAGATTTTTTAAGTTGTTAAAGTGAAGTTCCTCATAGTATGCTGTTATTTTTCATTTTATTTTTGGTTGATTGTGTTGTGATAATGCCTATTTAATTTTGTATTTGTCATACTTTCATTTTCTATTTTTTTTACTGTGTTAAATTTGCCAATGATTTGTTAGCTTTATTAAACCTTTCAAGGAACCAACTTCTAGTCTTGTTGATGGTTTCTACTGTTTTTCTGTTTAATTTCGTTTTGCTCCGATCTTTATTTACTTTCTTCTGGAGACTGCAGGTTTTTTGTTTTGTTCTGTTGTTTTTTTTTGCTGCTCTTTTACTAATTGTCTGGGGGTAATTTATTGCTTTTGATGATTTCTTCTTTTTGACGTGATCATTTAGTGCTATAAATTGACCTCTGAGCACTACAATTGCTGTTTCTAGAAATTTGGATATGCTGTTTCCATTCTCCTTTCTACAACTTATTTCACATTTTATTTCCTCTACTACCAAGTAGTTTTTAAGCAGGGTCTTATTTAGGTTCAATGTACTTGATTTTCCCATTGATATTCCTAGTATTTATTCCTATTTTTAATAGCATAATGATCTGAAAAGATGCTTGATATTATATTAGTATTTTAAAGTTTATTAAGGTTTGTTTTGTGACCTTACACAGTCTATTCTGGAGAATGATCCATGTGCCCTGGAAAAGAGTGTACATAATGCTGTTTGTTTGTTTGTTTTTTATGGAGTGTTCTATATAGATCTTTGAGGTCAAGTGGGTTCATTAATGTTGTTGAGATTTTCCACATCTTTTTTGTATTTCTTTCTAATAGTTCTGTCCCTTGAAAGTGGTCTGTTAAAGTTTCCAAGTGTCATTGTGGAGTTGTCCATTTTTCTTTCAAATTGAATATTTGCTTTATGCATTTATTTTGCTATTTCATTGGATGCATAAATACTTATAATGGTTGTTATTTTACTAGATTGACCCTTTAATTATTATATGACTCCCTTCCTTATCCCTTATTCTACCCCCTCTCACTCTTCCCCCAACGTCTGGTTGATCAGAAATCAACATGACCACTCCTGATATATTTTTGCTTACCATTAGTTTGCTATATTTTTCCATTCTTTAATTTAATTCTTTTTCTTCATATGTAAGGTATATCTCTTTTAGATTATATTTTCTTATCCATTCTCCCACTCTTCTTCCCTTGACTAGTGCATTTAATCCATTGAAATTCAGTGTAATTAATGATAGGTATGAATTTATTGCTGTTACTCTCGTGCTTTTTTATTATGGGTTGATTTTTTTGTTGTTTTGTATATTTTCTGTGCTGAGTTGATTTCGTCATAAATTTTTGCTTTCATTTTCTTCATTGTTGATCTTGTGTTCACTAAGGCCTTATGGTCTTCTTTCTTCTTTTGGTTAGAAATCTTATTAACTTTCTCAGACAGTTCAAAAACAGTCTGTTCTCTCATGATATTGTCCTGAGTTCCTCTCCATTTAGAAGTCCTGCAATTACCATATATACTCAAGTATAAGCCGAGGTTTTTCAGCACCTTTTTAATGCAGTTTTTGTGGTAAAATTAGGTGCCTCAGCGGATATTTGGGTTGTCTTATACTGGAGTATTTAGGTACATCATTGATCACCCCTTTTTTACATTGAAGATGTTTACAAATTGGTGCCTCTGATTCTCTTGTACAAAAATGATTATTTTACTTTTGATAATTCCTTCTCTGGATTGATTTTTGATACTGTTGCACCTGTCTTAATCTCAGGTTGTTGTCTAATGTTGTTGGTTCTCTGCCCAAAGGACTACCTCTAGTATTTCTTGCAGATTTTTCCAGTTTAGGCAAATGACCCTAATTTCTCCATTTCTAGAAGTGCCCTCATTTCTTCATTATATTTGAAGGGCAGCTACCCTGGATTTATAATTCTATGTTGACTTTTTTTTTCTTTCAGGTTTTAAATACATCAACTCATTATTCTCTTGAATTCACAGTCTCTACCTAGAAATCAAAGCTTAGTTTTATATGTTTTTGTAAGTAACACTTTATTTTTTCAAATCAGTTTCAAGATTCATTATCTTTGAATTTTATCTATGAACTTCCTTTTGGGGATGCCTTGTCTGGCATTAATTTAGCATCTTGGAAAGCTATCTTTTCATCTTTCATAATATTAGGGAAATTTTTGCTAGCATTTCTTTGAAAATTCTTCCTTTTGGTTTGCTTATATTTATCCTGTTCTGGAATTCTGATAAGTATTAAATTATTCCTCCTTGGTACTCTCTCTCACACTTAATAAGCTTTCTTTACCCTCTGTTCTGATTTATATAAATTTATTTTAAAGGGTGTCTCCTTCTAATTCATGATTCACTCTTCATTGGATTTGATTTTCCTGTTTTGTCCCTCATACGTATTCTCGATCAGAAATTTTAGTATTAAGCTTGTGGATTTCTAATTACTGTTTTTTTGTTTTTTTAATTGTGTTCTTACTTTGTCATTTTGCTCCTGCATTGTTTTCATAAATTATCCTAGGGTATTGGCTGTGATGTCCATAATTTTGTTTGAGATTAACTTGAGTTCTTAGAAGACTAAATATATATTTATTTTAAAATATATATAAGAAGACATATACTTTAAATATATATTTAATGTATATATATTAAAATAAATATTTATATACACACATATTCATGCATATGTATAGTAATATACATTTAGCACAAATTCCATATCAGATAATTGTTGTTCCCCCAAAGATTTTCTAGTTATTTATTTTGACCAATTTTTTGTACCACCTTATTCATTGATTTGAAGTTATCTGCTATCTCTGCAACAATTTGGAGTTGTATCTATTTGTTGATTGTTTGTTACACTATGATTCTTCATTTTGCTTTGTTTTGATTTATCTAGGGAAGCCTACTATTTTAGACATCCTTTGTACTCCTATTCTGGCTCCAAGTGGGTTGAGTAACAAGAGAGAATGTATATGTGGGTCGCTAACAGGTTTTCATTTTCTGTCATTGATCCAGTTGTGCAGGAATAAATTGGGACAGTCACCTGGTGTGTATGGTGGTAGGTATTGAAGTTATGACTGATTAGTTTCACTCAGGTTCTGGCCACATTGTGTCTCTGTTCCAGTCAGGTTCCATGAAGTTCCCTTCTCCCTGCCAATGTGTGTTGTCTTCTATGTTTCATATTTGATACCCAGAATTGCAGGATTGTTATCTGTATATAAGGGGGTACCCCCCCAAAAAAACGGAAAAAGCTCTGCTGGTTGGAGCTTTCACAGTATTCATTTTTCCTCATAGGTGAGCACTGAACAACTCGCTCTGAGTTAGTACACCCAGTGGTGTCACCGGGAAAGGTTCTCTCTGGTCACAGTGAAGTTCACAAAAGCAGTTTTGATCACACCTCAGTTTTTGGGGGGTTGTTTTTATTTTGTGATGTGTGGTTTAAAAGAAAAGCGTGTGACTGTGAAATTCTGTTTCCTGCCTGGGAAAAATGCCGCAGAAACTGTTGTGACTTTGAACACAGCTTCTAAGGGCAGCACTATGGGAAAAACTCAAGTGTATGAGTGCTTTTTTCATTTCAAAAAAGGTGAAATGTCGATTGATGACAAACTTCATGGTGGACATCCATCAACTTCCCAAATGGATGAAA